AAGCAGACAAATTTTTTATTATTAAATAAATCTGGAAAGCAAAATTTTTCGAAATTTTACATATGAAATTTAGGTGCATCAATCATTTGATCCCATAATAAAAATTTTACACACGTGATCTGCATGACATCACAGCTGACTGTTATATACTGATATAAGAATAAAAGTCTGTTCTTATAATAAAATAAACAGAATTGCTAAAAGAAAAAATGTGTTTATTATATTTTTATTATATATTTATTATATATAAATTTATAAATAATTATATAAGGCCAATTCTATTTTAACCCAGGTCAAAATGATCTGTCATGTGACTTTGTGCCACTGTGGCGCACAATCGATAATAATGCACAGATTATGTGACACCTGTTTAGTGCTAACCAATCATATCATAGCACAAAGCACATAACCACAGTTTCGTGTAAGCCAATTATCACGCTGTATTAACAAATATAGTTATACGAATTAAGTAGTTGAGTTTCGCATTTAAGTTGTAACGTTGTATTCAACTTGATTTGGGTTTGTGAAAACTATAAACAGTTGTTTGTGTTGATAATGTTTTTATTAAGAATTTGAGGACACCGATATTTGAAAGGATCTAATAAGAGGTAAGCAGTCTTGTAAAATAGTTTTTAAGAGTAAAAATTTCATAAGACCAACATTCAAAATCAGACAGTAAGTTAAAATTTTAGGCAATTCCTATTTAATAACTAATTCCAAACTTTATTCTTCTATTTGAAAACATTGTGTTTGATAAGTGATACTAATGCACTATATATATTATCACTTTATAGAATTTTTTGCGATTTGAAAATCGGGTTACCCTCCAACTATTTTATAGCAATTGTATAATTCAGAGCGTTATTTCAACTTCTAACCAACATTAATACTAATCTTAAATTTAAATTCAGGGCACATTATTTACAAAATGCAGTAAATTAAGATAATCAACCAAGACATAATTGTTTATATGCAAATCAATTTCGATATCTAAACCCTTTAAATAATATATATGAAGTCATTCGATTTCTAACTAGCTCTGGTGAATTCAAATATATTACATAAAACAAACACAAGTCTAAAAAGTTGATCAACATTGTGATGAAAAATGGATTTAGAAAATGTATACCAGACATTTATGCAAGATCTTTCATTCAAACCTAAAAAAAGCAAACTTGTAAGCTTAGTATGTAGTTCTTTTTTTAAAACATTGAGATAAAGAAACAATTATATGTAGTACAGCTTAATTGTTTAAGTTGCTACATAGCTAAATTAAAAAGATACAACTATATTAGCCACATAATATAAATTATTATATGTGAATCAATGATACATATGATATATTCAAGATCGTAATCGTTATTACTAAATATGAAGATGTTTAAACATGCTTAATATCAATATAATAAAGTATAATAAAGCATAGTAATATTATTTACCTTGTTTGGGCAACTTTTAGAGTTGTGCCCAGCACTTTTACAAATACTGCATGCATAAATTTTTTTAACATGTTCTGCACACATATTTTCATATTTAGTACCACTTTGCCTTTTTTTCGTCTTTGCAATATTAGGATCTCTGATGTCTTCTTGCAATAACAGATATTTGTTTTTCAATTGTTCAACGAAAAGGGCTAAAGTATTATTAATTTCCACATGACCCACTTTATTCATGATAACTTCTATATCTTTAAGTAGGCCCGAGGTGTTTTTGATAGAAATTCATTAATCAGTATATATATTATAATTACTGCAATTGGATGCATTTGTAAATTCATTGTTATTAGTAGTATTGTCAGCAATATAATTTTCTTTTTCAGTTACATTAGGCATTGCTGAAGGGACATGGTTTTCTTTGTCAGTCATATTAAATAATGCTGAAGAGATGACCCAACGAGTACCGATATAATCAGCTATTAAATCTTCCTTATTAGCAATGTGAACTGCAAGAATATGACAGCATGGTAAAGAAAATTGTATATTATAGTCACAAGAACAAGTGTATTCGTTATCAGTTTGATACACTGTATGTTTACAGCCTTTATTATGATAAACATATTTTAAATTATCTTGTCTCTCAACCTCATATGCAATTGCTAAGTTGTGTTGATCTAACAATAAAGAATATACAAAATCTAACACAATTACTGAAACATTTTTTAATAATTCTGGGCATTGCTGACGAATACTACTACGCAAGTGAAATTGTTGATATTGAAAGTGCTGAAGTTGATGGTTTGTTAATTTATTTAAAGCACTAATTAATTCAGATAAGGGCACTGTATGACTAAGTAAACATTTTAGGTGTGAATTAGTAGCCTCTGACCATTATGTTGTTCTTATTCTGTAATTGATATTTTTGTTGATATAACTATATGTCTACATACTTTTATGAGGTTTCTATTGCTTTGTCATGTAAGTATTAGCCTCTGAATATTCAACTAATAAGCAGTCCCATTTAATATTAAACTGCTCTACGTCAGTCTTAAACATTACTGCTCTGAAATCCTTGCTAAATGCTATAAATTTATCTTTGAGCTTTTTATTTAAATTCTTAATGATGTTTTGCTCAATATGCTAAACACAAAGTTGATGTTTGACATTTAGCAACTTTGTTCAAACCGCAGAAATTAGTGCGAGGTCTCTATCTGTTATGAGAGTCTTTATACAATAGACAGTCATATCACCAACCACTTTCTTTAATTGATAGAGTGCTTAGCAAAAATTCAGTGCAGTTTCATTGGCGAGGAGACAACTTGCAATAAAAAATGTTATACCCATCGCATCAACACTGCTGACAAGTAGAAGTGGCATTCTAAATAATTAAAATAATTATTTAGTACTTAAAAAAAAATAATAAATAAAAATAAAAAAAAATAAAAAATAAAAAATATATATTATCTAAATCTATTGGTTTTGTACGTTGAATCTATTAATAAAATCTCTGGATAGCAGTTAAAAGTAGAAAGTGAAGTATGGGTAGTAAAGAATAAACAATGAGTTTTTTATTATTAACTGAATAAGTAACCAAATATTCATTGTTATTATTCAGATTATTCAACAATTCCGTGGTTTGAGACAAATCTGTTACATAATCACGAGACTGATGATTTAAAGAGTTATATATATCTTTATTATATATATATCTATTGTACTGTTCAGTTAGCATGTTAACAATTGTTGGTACCAGTACGCCACTATCATAGAGCATTTGGATATACATGTTCTCATTACGACATAACCTACGATGACCAGGATCGAACATAATTGAAGCATAATCCATGAGATGGCTATGTTAAAGGTTGACAGACCACACAGAATATTTATTTTTCATCCAATGAACTACAACCTTAAATTGGCAGCCTTTAGCTATGCTTTTTGTTTTTCGCAATCCAGTACTTGCGTTACTTGCAACACCAGCATAGCGACAAACAATATCTGCTCTGATTATAAAGTCCATATTTCTTTCTGTATAATAAAGTCTTGTAGCAAATGCTTTATTTATTGCTTAGGCATTAATGTGTTCTTAAACATTATGCCAGTCAGTAAAAGTCTGTCTAACCGTTATTGTAATTGAATTATTATTAGTTACTTGTTCTTGTAGTGTTATATTATTGTTGGGTGATTCATAGTTGTCATTAAGAACATTAAGTGAATCCTCATCATCGCTAATATTAACAATGTCAGAGCTTGTTTCAATATCATTATAAAAGCTAGTATTTTTAAAAGAATGCTCAAAGTTCATATTGTATGAAAAAGCAGTTACAAAACTTAGTAGAACAAAAAAAACACAAAAGATGTAAAATTTAAAAATTTCAGACCATTTTATTTACCATATTATAACTCAGATAGGTTTCTATACTTTTGTACATCATATGTTCATGTCAATTATTAGACTAAAAAGTAGTATTGTATTGATTTATTATATAAATAAAACTACTACATGCAGGAATAATGTATGATCAATTTAAGGCTATGCAAAGTTGATTTTAGTGTTGTACGTATTATCTTTTGATCTAAATTATAC